CGGGCCTCTTCAGACCACCCCTATTTAAATCTCTACTTTATAAAGCCAAGGCCACCTCCAATTTGGGGGGAGCAACCACCCTGGCTAGTACCAAGGTGGGCTTTGATCCCATGGAGCGCTTGTTTGCTGAACAAGAACAAGAGGCTATTCCATCACCCAAATTGTTTATGGACGTAATCCAAAAACAATGGTCCCACCCAACCACAGTCTCACCCCCTAGCAATGCTTCCACTCCGGAATTGGACACCATTTTGCAGTTTCCCACTGTTGACTCGCCGATAGCGGCCTTGGCTTCCCTGGCCCTCATTCCATCCGAGATTTCGGAGGGATTGAATGCTGAGGACTGCAAGGTGGAGCTCGTTATTTGCAAAACGTACCAGGCGGCTGTCTGGGCATTGAGTGCTGCTATGGCAGCCTCGTTCTTCAATAGAACTTTCTTAGTTTGGTTAAGACAACTACAGGAGAGATTAGGTCTAGAGACTTGCACCTTCATCAGGATATGGTAAAACTGGTGGCGGCCTTAGAATTTTCTTCAGATGCCACGCTCAATGCGACCAAGTTTGCATCCCGAGCTGTGACATCCAACATAGCATCTAATTGCCTATTAAGGCTACGCTATTGGCAGGCAGACGTATGATCCAAATGATGTCTTGTCTCCACCCCCTTCAAGGGCAGTTCCCTATCCAGCGCTGGATCCTATACTGATTGAAACGAGGGACAAGCGAAAGGTACTTACTTCGACTGCTAGGTGCATGGATCGGAGGTAACAACCGTATCCTCGAAGGCAGCCCTTTCGTATTGGGGAGTCAGGGTACTCCTCCCTCCCCTACACCCCTCTATCTAATAGATCCTTTTCTCAGTCCCAGGACAGAGCCAATACTAGGGACAGAGGTAGAAACCAGCACCAACAGCAGGCCCAGGCCTTGCGGCCCTTTCATGGCACCAACAACCGGTCTTTTCATAGGTACTGGTGACTCGCTAGAGGGTGGCCCTATTGGCGGACGCTTAACCACCTTCGTCCGCCAATCGGAAACCACCACCTCAGACGCCTGGGCTCTTCAGACCATGAGGCTGGGCCTCACTCTGGAGCTCCTGGCTATTCCCCCAAGACGTTTCATCAAATGCCCGGTGCCCAGGTGCCAGATAAAATGGCGCCTGATGGACAAGGAAATCCAGCATCCCATTTCCATCAGAGCAATAGAACAGATGCCAAGGGGACAGGAGGGTCTAGGTTTCTATTCCATACTCTTCCTAGTTCCCAAGACCTTGGGAGGATGGCGGGCCATCCTAGACTTGAAACAGCTCAAGTTCTACCTAAAGTATTAAAAATTCAAAATGCAATCATTCAAGAGTATTCTGGCGAGCATTCGCCAAGGCAATCTCCTCACCTCCATCGACATCAAGGAGGCGTACTTACACATGCCAATACATTCGGCCCATCGAAGGTTTCTGCACTTCATGGGGTGTTATTTCCAGTACTGCACCTTACCATTCTGCTTATCATCAGCCCCGCGGACCTTCACCAAACTGCTAGCAGTGATTGCAGCCTTGCTGAGGTCAGTTCCTGTAAGAGTCAATTGTTATCTAGGCGACATCTTAGTCTTATTGTGTTCCCGGATCCAAGCTTGTCGTGACCTACAGCAGACAATTGACACTCTGCAGGATCACAGATTTGTACTGAACTTTCCAAAGAGCCACCTGCACCCGACCACATCTTGTCTGCATCTTGGGACAGTCAGACAAAATCTTGTCTGCTCTCTCTCTCTCTCTCAGCAGAGCCTGCAGTCCCTAGTGAGTCAAATGCTCAATCAGAGGTCACCTTCCCTCGCGGTATTGTCCCAACTTCTAGGGAAGATGATATCTTGCATAGATGTTGTTCCTTGGGCAAGGTTCCACGCATGACCACTGCAGTGGGGTATCCTTCCATTCCAAAGGGCTCACACCAGTCACTCTCAGGCCAGGGTTCGCTTACCGACCAAGGTATCCCTGTCAGTTCATTGGTGGATGTCGTCCCACATCCTCAAGGGATGCCTCTTCAAGGAACTGGAGCGGATTGTAGTTACAAAGGATGCAAGCCAATTCGGATGGGGGGCCCATGCCCTGGACCGAGTGGCGCAGGTTGTTGGACTGTCCAGGAGCTGTGCAATAGCATCAATTGGCTGGAGCTATGGGCTATCCACCTAGCCCTCCGAGTAGACATGGTTACATCCAACCATGTGTTGGATGTAATACTCACCAACAACATGGCCTTCAAGATGCATGTCAACCGCCAAGGGGGGGCACAAGGTCCAAATCCCTGATGATGGAAGCAGAACGTCTGCACCACTGGGCGGAAAACCATCTGTTGTCAGTCCGAATGGAACACAT